AGCATCGGCGTCGAGCCCAGTAAATTTTAGTCTAGCAAATTAACGGGCTGACTCTACCATTAAGTGCCGAATGGAGGGGAGGCCTATGGTCAGGTACAGATTGAACTTTAGGAATAAACAGGTGGTCCGCCTGGTGAATTAGACTTTCGAACAACTCATTTAGGTTGTTCGGGTCAGTATCAATATTGTAGGAGCCCAGCCTGTTAGCCAAAAATTCTCGTAAGAGAATAAAATCGACACTTTGGAAGAAACGTAGCATTCTGATCTGCAAGTTAGCCAGCGGATAATATAGTCAAAGAAATGCAGGAGGTGATCACGTTTACCAACAGGACTTAGGTACGAGATCATGTCGATCCCACGGTATCTCGTGGGAGATACTACGTGTTGGAACCACTAGTATTCGTTGAAGAGCTTTATAAAGGGTGCACCAAAAATTCTATCTCTGGAGTGGCATCTGGGCCAATCGAAATTCGGGGCGTTAAAATCGCCCAGGATAAGGTTTGAGAATGTGCAGGTGGGACGGGGATCACGCAGCTGAGTTAGAAGTGATTGACATTCCTCCTGTGTGCTTGATGAGGAGCGATAAACAACCCCCAGGAGGAGTGAATCCCTGCTCGGGAAGACGATACTGACCCATAGGGTCTCGATCGATTGAATAGGGAAGAGAAACACAGGGAACCCATTTTCGAAGAATCTATGCAAGGGTTGAATCAGAAGCCCATGAAGCATCAGATAAGAACATATATGTTTCCTGACTATCCGCTCGAGACACTTACAGAAGACCGATGTAAAACTTACCGGCCTATAGTTGCAAACCTTGTTTCTAGGACCTGACTGGTGTATGACTACTACGGTTGCAGTTTTTCAGTCCTCTGGGAACCTGCAAGTACCGATGGACTCCTTAAATAACTTAGTCACTGGTCCCACTAATGCACTTGCTAGAAGCTGAATCACGGCGGGATGCAATCCGTCCTGTCCTGCTGCTCTATGCTTATTTAAGTCATTGAGCTCTCGGGCTTCGTCGTTTTCACAGAGGGTGAATTGTGATTTGCTCCCTTATTCTAGTTGGGCGGCAGTCCACAGTCCGTTCTGCCGTTAGTGGCCGATAAATTTCCTTGAAAAACGTAAGGACTGCATTCGTCTTTTCCTGGTTGGTCGTGACCATTACCTCCGGTGTACCTACTCCCTCAGTGTTTTTATTCGCTTGCACATTATGCACGAAATGTTTTCGGGTTTGCCTGTTTTTGATGTTGATACTTTCTCTCCCTTTGAAGGGCTTGCGCTCTGTTGCGTGCTCTCTTGTAGGTGGACCATGCTTTGGCAGTCCGGTATGCCCTAAAGCGAGCCCAACATTTCCGAACTACTAGTGTCCTATCTAGCTTCCACAAAGTTGGTCGTTGTTTATTGCTCCTAGATTTGAGTGCAAACTTATCGGTCAGTTTAAGCAGTCCTACCTCAATGGCAGACCAGCGTTCTTCCAACATTAGCTCAGGAACAAGTGGTACCCAAACTGCGTGCTCTTGTAGGACTGTAACTTTTATACGGTTATAGCACCGTTTAAATGGGGCAGCCAGTTTGCTGTTTCATCGGCACTACTAACCGAAATCGGGAGAGCAGAGCTGTATGCTACCGAGCGTGTCCCCAGGTCGCGGATAGGGGAACGGTTGTAATCTCACGGCTAACCATGTATAAGGTGGGTCCCGGCCCTCCGAATAAGCGGTCACGGGCGATCAGCGGCAGCGCTCGAGGATGTGGTGGGTTTACTCCTGGCAACGGTTCTCCGCACAAAACACCACATATATCTGAGGACAGCGCTGTGACGTGGCGAGTGTGACCCGCCACTAAATATGGTCGTTGCTCCTTGTCGATTTCCAGGTTTTCCAGAAGAGGCGAATGAACCAACTACTGAACACCGGCTCATCTGGAATATCGCTGCTGCCTTGCAGTCCACTCGTGGATGCGCAAAGACTGGAGTGCACCCTCGAACAAGGCCTACTATGGACCGGGAGTCCAAGTAGTACAACAGCCCACAACACCAGCAATGATGAACTCTTTGACTTTCATGTGCATTCAGTGTGCCATTTCCACACCTACAGATGAACAATCTACACTATACACACACTCATGTCCCCCAGGCTCTACCCAACCCTACCTTCACCCTCTTAACTCATCTCTCTCGGATTCTTCTGGCGATCGTGAAATCACTAGTACCTCAGATGGAAACTCTGCCGCTGTTTCCTCATGTCCTACCTCGACTACCGTCCAAGTTTCACCGACTCCACCAACTGAAGCCCTTCTTCGCTCTCGATGTCCTTTCAAACTAGCCACATTTAATGTGCGCACTCTGATGTGTACAGGACAACAGGCCGGTTTAGCTCGTACGCTGGAGACTCTAGCCATCGATGTGTACTTTATCCAAGAGACTCACATTCAAGACTCCACCTCCATTAGCCGATTGACGTCCCCATTTAACCAATCTGTGAAGTTTCACTTACGCCTCTCTGGGGACCCTGAGGCTGCGTCTTCCGGTCTTGCTGGCGTTGGTGTGCCTCTCAGTGAGAAGCGAAACAATCTGCGAAGCTGATGGTTCGCCAATTCACAATCAACAACGACGTCTTAAACGCTGGGCGAAGCACTTCAAGCATAGTTGAGCTGGCCACTGGCGTGAGCTCCTCGCACAGCTATTCCGGCACACGTCCCATGGTCTGTCATAACAGACTCACCTTCTGAGGTGGAGACCCAAGCCCTGGGACGACACAAAGCGCCGGGTTTCGACGGCCTTCCCCTGCTCTATTTAAAGATGGTAAAATGAAGTTTGTTAGAGAACTACAAGTTCTGTTCTCCAAAGTGTGAAACACTGAGCAAGTTCCCTCCTCGTGGTGGTGGGGGTCGATTGTTGTCCCCATCTTCAAAAAGGGCCCGTGCAATGACTTCGTCAATCGCAGGGGTATAAGCCTAATCCCGAAAGCGTCGAAGCTGTTGGCGTCCGTTATTCTCCGCCGATTGTGCACTACGCGTGAGGAGCAGGTTGGGTTTTGCGCTGGTCGTGGATGCATTGATCAAATCTTTACCCTCCGATAGCTGCTGGAGCACCGCCATGCCTACCGAAGACCAACCATCATTGCATTCTTAGACATTCGCGCGACCTTCGACTCTGTCGATAGGACCGCACTATGGAACTGTCTGTTGAGGAATGAAGTACCTGAGAAGTATGTGTCGATCCTCAAAGAGTTGTATCGTCATACTTCAGGTCGGGTTAGAGCCTATGGCCAACTTTCGCCACCCTTCGCCGACTTCAGTGGAGTTCAACAAGGCTGCCCTATATCCCCATTCCTTTTAAACTTTGTCATAGAGGATGTTCTACAGAATGCTTTATCCGGCCTAGCAAACGGTGGAGTTGAACTCCTCCCACGGAACAGAGTTCTTGAATTGGAATATGCCGATGACATCGCCTTGCTGGGTGACAACACATAGGCAGTCCAAGAGGCTTGAACCGTTTGACGATCGAGGTATCCAGATATGGAATGTGCTTTGCACCTTCAAAATGCTAAGTGCTGATTCAAGACCGGCAGGAGTCTGTGCCTGCACTCACCCTCTGTGATGATCATCTAGAAGTAGTTGAGAACTTTAAGCACCTCGTGAGCTTGATCGCAGCTGGTGGTGGTGTTTGGGAAGAGATCACATCACGAATAGCGAAAGCTAGAGCAGCTTTCGCCAACCTGCGACACATGTGGCGCCGGCATGACATCCGACTGTCCCTTAAGAGAAGGGTGTACATCGCCGCAGTTCTTAGTGTTCTGCTTTACGGTTGCGAGACCTGGCCTCTCCGAACGGAGGATGTTAATGGAATTTCTGTGTTTGACCACCGATGTCTCCGAAGAATTGCTCGTGTCTGGTGGGAACATCGGGTGAGCAATGACGAGGTCCGTCGTCGTGTGTTGGGTGCGGATAGTCGTTCTCTAACAGAAGTAATCGCTCTACGCCTCCTCCGATGGCTTCGGCACGTATTGCGTATGCCTGCCCATCGATTACCTTTCCGTGCTCTCTTCGCACGTGGAGGCTGGAGGAAGCGACGCGGCGGTCAGACCATGACATGGGGTAGAGACCTGAAGAAGCTGGCTTCAGCTTTGGCTTCGGTTGGTGCATCCCGCCTTCCAGATTGGGGTCCAAGGAATGAGGATTGCCGTTGGTTGGAGACGCTGAGAGACATGGCCCGGAATCGAAGTCATTGGCGCAAATGCTGTACGGTCTGCCTGTCGAAATCCCGTGCCCCGTAGAAACCACAAACAACAAAAAATTTCAAAAACTGTACTGTGAAACACCCCAAAAAATTGTTATTCCACTTATTCGTAATCTCCTATTCTGAAAGCTAGATCTGTCCCCTATACTCTGTATCTCAACCCCCTCCTCGTTATTGTTATTGTTAATATTGTTATGGCGTTGGCACCAAGCTTGTTCTCAAGCCAGTGTTAAATATAAATATATACTACTAACCGAAGTACCCTATGAGCACTCTCGACCAATGGAGTCTCCACTGCTACCTCACTTATATCCGCTAAATACCGCGTTATAACTAGGTCCAGGACAGAGGCCCTCTGTTGGTTGCGAAACCCTGTAGCCTGCATGATGTGCTGAATAGGCGCATGCTCATGCAACCACGTTAGAAAGCTTTCTCTGTGCGTCCCAATGGGAGACTTTTTCTCTCTACCCAGCAGATCTCCGGGAGATTGAAGTCACCCGGAATTAAAATCCTTTGAGTCTTCCATAGGAATTCCTCCATTGTAGCAACTAGTTCTACATCTTCTGGGTTCCGCCTGGGGTGCGCAATCGACTAGTAACACTCCTAGCGGTTGTCTTCCCAGGAGGATACTACACTACTTGGCTTGAACATAAAGTCGCTAGTTTTACTGGTGAGTCCCGTTGAGTGTAAGCGGCTTGACCAGCAAGAGTACTTCTCCGCCTTGTCTGCTATCCACTTTATCTTGCCTATAAGCTGAAGAATCTCTGGGCTTCCCCATGTCCAGCTCATGTTGCGTGCAATTTTCAGTTATGGCTATGAAATCGGGTTTTGGGCGTGTGCTGCTAACTCTCCCTTTTTCCCCCTAATGCTGCAGACGTTATTGTATCACATTGCGACGGTGTCCACCTCCGCCTTGATACAACTCTGCTTTATTTCTTTGCGTGGATCTTCGGACGTAAGGCCCGAGGAGCTATTACATTTTTTGATACCATATTTGCGGGTATTGGACTATCAGGCTTCGTAAACAACCAGGCTTCGTAAACTACCCGGCTTCTGAAGGTAAAAAAACTGAAAGTCAAGCATAGCTTGATATTATATGAAATGAGCCGAAATGGTGCATGTTACCCGCCGGCACCCCATGCTTGTTGACCATTCTGAGAGTTCTTTCGATTCTGAAAATGTTTTAAATGCATCCTAAATTTTTTATATTTTTTCAAAAACAAATGGGTCCTTCTGTTTTATTAATGTATACAAGTCACTTTTCCTACCGTTTGTTTCAATTGACGTTGACCTTGACCATGTATGGATCTGTTGTGCCTACCATATACCGGATTTTACACGAATTTTAAGGAGGAGCATGCGTGAAATATATGCAGAATTGTGGATTGCTACCAAAACAATGAACTTTTTCATGCGGACGAATAATGAAACTACAAGAGTTTACCCCCGAGCCGTGATGGATTTATTTTTGGTTGTACAACGTGCAAACGGCAAGTATCACTTTGATCGGGGACTTTCTTCGAAAAATCTCAGCTGCCATTATACACTTCGATGGAGCTGATAATTTATTTCGTTATGGAGAAGCCTGTAACCCGGACCGCGGCTATAGCCAACGTGTCCAAGAGGTGGACTGGGAAATGTGGTGGAGGTCAACGAAACCGTCGCGGTGGGGTGCAAATGTGGACGCAGTCGACTAATACCAACAGTGTGGGTGTTCGGTATGTACGACCGCAATTTACGTAAATGGTACTTCCAAAGAGTGGAGGACCGCTCTACGGAGACCCCAATACCGATTATCCAACGCTGGATTCAACCGGGAAGTACTATATACACGGACCAGTGGGCCGCCTATCGGTCATTGTGTTCCCTGGGATATATATAATGTGTGTAAACCATAGTGATGGCTTTGTGAATCCCGTTACCGGTGTTCACAAAAACGACGATGAAACGTTCTGGAGTCGGATTAAATTTCGCATGAAGAATGTCACAGGATTTGTGGGAGATGGTATTTGTGAACATCTGGACGAGGTTCGGTACAGAATGTGGTTTCGCTTTTGCATAAAGACTTTTACAAACGATGTTCATACTTATCTAGGACGTGTAAAACAACTTTATCCTTGTTAATAATGATTTGTTGCTGAGTAAATATTTTTAGTACAGTCTACGCCTGTTCCCTACTATATAATTGTTTATCCTACTTATGATCAGTATATTTTTGATTGCGTAAATTTCGTTCTATGGGGTGCCGGCGGGTAACCTGAGCCGAAATATACATTGGTATTTCATAATTACCTGAGCCAAAACAGGAACAGGATGTAATTAGTGTCACTTGATATCCATTGATCGGAAGAAGTGATCGCCTCCCCATCGGGGTCGATATCCGGATGAGACTACTCGTACATAGATTACGAATGTACAGGGATTTTGGTAGAATGAACATCAATAGGCTTCGGAAATACACCGCAAGAATGCAGTAGATTCCCGAACGAGACACCACAGACGTCGAGGAATGCTGGTTGTTAATCAAACACAACCTCCTCAACCCCCAGGACCTCTTTGCTCCATTAAGATATAGGTGGTACAAGGGAAAACCTCTATGGTGGCGAGCTGCAGTAGCTAGGGCCATTAGGTACCGAAACCAAAACTGGCAAGCCTATCAACTAGCCGGCACCCACAGGCCGTGGGTTAATTACACAGCCCACAGAAATTAACAGTGATTAACATAGTGAGGGAGGAAAAGAGGTTGTTACAAATGAAGCTGGCCTAGAAAGTAAAGCTAGAGCCAAAGAGGTACTACGGGTATGTCCAGTCAGAGGGCTGCACCAGAGAAGAAATGGGCCCACTGGTACTTGAGGGAGATAGGGTTGTAACTGAAAACCATAGTAAAGTTGATGCATTTCGCGCCTACTTTAGCAGCGTGAAAAGGTTAGACATTGGTGAGTCGAATAGATGACAACCAAAAACTTTGAATCAAAATATATTTTACATAAAAAAATAAAATATTTATTTGTTAATATGTATGGACGGTAGAGAAATGTACTCATACTAAATCTATGAGAACTGCACCTTCCATATAACTATCAAAAGTTATTCTAAATACTATTTTGAAACTTTCAGCCAAAGATCATCGATGAATACGAAATAAAACTAACTTTTTATCAACTTTCAAAAAGTGACCCACAGTGAAATTTAAAAACGAGCTAAACTCCATTAATAATCCACCAATTGGCTTCCACCCATGGGATAATTCCACCTTGGAAGAGCCTGCACAAAGAAGTAGGTAATGCCCAACAAAATCGGCTCTCAAATGGAATCTATTCCAACATCTTGGTCCCTTAACAGAT